ATTCTGCTGTAAGTACAAAGCTGTTACAACTTTTAGAACTCTAGAGCATCTCTGTGAACCTTATACCCTTGCCCTGATCAATAATAGAGTTAAACTCTAAATGTGTAACTTATATGTAATACCATAGACACAAACTAATAGTAGAATTTTTCAAAGATCAATCCTTAAATATATTTTACCTACAGGGCTTAAGAAAAATAAAATTTTAAGAATTGAATTCATTTGCCCATAGTATCATTTACCTTTGTCTTTCCCAGAGAGCTGAGCTGTAACCTGTGAAAGGAGTTGTTAAAGGATCATGGTTCCCAATAACCAAAATGAGACTTCAAAAGAAAAATATTTTGTGCTTGACCATTAGTTTCTGTAATTTCATTTTATTTAGGTGTTTGAGTGCTTGAGTTCAAGTGTGAGTTTTAGGGAAAATGAATGACGGCATGTACTCTCTTATCTTCCAGAATGCAAAAGGTGTGGTGCAACACTTGAATTAGCGCTGTGTGAACAGGGTTTCCACTGTCTATTTCTTCTGTTACTACTGAGTGTACTTGTTCGTGTTTGAGGGAGAAAAACGATATGCACAGATTGTTCCATTATCCAATTAAATTTTCTTTTTTATTCTCACAGTACTCTAATTGTAACTCCGATGTTTGGTGGAGAATTCAGTCAAAAAGCCTCAAGCCTAACAATACAGGCATTGATCGACTTACGACCTATGCAACTTACGACCATTCGACTTTACGACCACAACGCTAGCCACGACTGCTCCGCGTCTGGCAGCGCAAACGTTGCCATATTTTGCAATTAGGAAAATGTTTCCTACAGTACTTTTTACACCTGTATTTTGTATTTTTGTATGCACCTGTATTTTGTAATTTTGTATGTTTTGCAAATATTAAACCAGTTGTACTGGTAATGCAGTGTTTTACTTAAACCTGACGAATGTAAAAATAAGAAACAAAGTGGTATAGAGATGATACAAATGGCATAAAATGAACAAAGAAAATTATGATATATAACAATAATGAAAGAAAATTATGATAAAATATGACTTAAAGATTTTTATAACATCATTTCACAGTACTGTACATATAGCCTACTCAACTTACGACCAAATCGTGTTACGACCGGTCTGTCGGACCCAATTGTGGTCGTAAGTCAAGCACTAGTTGTATTGGATTTGTAATTCATAATGTACAGGGGATCTCAATCTTTTTTTATTTCTCTTTTTTATACCAACTTCTCATATCACTTTTTCAAAAACATATTTTCAAAGGAGTTAAACTAAATTAATTCATACAACTCCTACTTCTTGAATATTTATTTTCTTCAACCTCCTGAAATCCAAGGATTGGGTATAATGGAAATATATCATTGTAACATGGTAGAGAAAATATTCTGGAGTGTTTATGAAGCTTGTTTTCAGACAAATTGAAAGAGAAATTATCCATTTTATTCACAAAATGAATCTCTCTTGTGCTACATGGCATAAGGCCAAGCTATAAAACGATGTTTTAATGTTGCAAGCTAGATCAAAGAAACACTTTAGTGATATTTGGTCCTGCTCGAATATTACAATATAGCTTTGAAGACTCAAATTGTTCTACAATCTGGTAATTGCTTATATTTCCCATTAAGATGGAGCAAAATGACAATAATTTCAATAGTTTATGCTAAACCTATAGATATGAATATGTTTTTACTACCAAAGAGTCATCACCCAAGGCTTGTAATTAACTACATACCTACAATCAGCATGTAAGAGCTTAAAATACTCTCACATAGAGAAAAAAAAAAGCTATTTTTGAGAAAAATGCATTTAGAAATTAAACAGAAAACAATGTGTAGAGGTAATTTTTGGCTAAGAATTTTTTTTAATTTTTGACAGGATAAAATAAGGTTACTTCCTTCAGCAGGGACAGTGTAAAACACTACCTGTTACACTAAGAAAGTAATTTCTTTCTCTTCTTTAGTGTGTTTTAAATGACCATTGGTGTGCAAGGCAGTGCACCTAGAGCAGGGGGAAACACAAAACGAATGGGTAACAGAGGCAGCCCTCGAGGAGGTCACAGCACACCATCCATTCTCCCATTTCCAAATTCTGCTATTTTACCAAGACAAAGGCTGTATATTTTTTAATAAGTCATTTTATTTTCTTTGGTAGTTAATCTAATTGATGATATAAAAAACTAATTCAAATACTGAATTTACTGTATATTTATTATGATAACTATAAAAGCAGAAAATTAGCTTTGAAAATCAAATAACTTATTCAGCAATACACGTTCATTTTATAGACCTACATAAAGACACTGGGTTCTCAATAATGCTCTAATCCAGGGGTTCTCGAAGCATGGCCTCAGACAAACCCCATTTGCATCACGTAGGAAATTGCTAAAACGCACATTTTCAGGCCCTACCTCCTGGTCTACTGAATCAGAAACTCTGTGAGGCCAAGCAACCTGTGATTTAATAAGCCCTCTAGCAATATTAAGGAACACTAAAATTTGAGAATCACTATTCTAATCTAGTCTGTTAAAGTGGTGTTTCATAAAAATTAGACTTTAATACTACGAATTCAGCCTTCTTTACTTTTCACAGGAAACGTTTGCAAGGAGACTTAGAAGCAGGTAAGATTTATCTTTCTGTGGCTTTAGGGCAGCCTGAAAGGGGTATACCATCTCCTTCCTCCTTCCTCCCAACCAATCATTTTGCTGAGATTTTTGGTTTTGATGTGTTTTCACTTTGACATCTCTTAAGACAAAGTTAGAGTACATTTCCTTGCACTGAATTAGCAGTTCCTAGTTAGAATACAACTTCCATGAAATCTTCACCCTATTACCTTTAAGCAGCTTAACAGTGTCATTAATTACTATAAAGTCCACACTGAAGATTTTTAAAGAAATTGTAATCACATGCTTATTAGCTGTTTCAAGTGAGAAATACTAATGTGTCCTATATAAATGCTTGGGTTTTTTTTATATTTGTCATAATAGAATAACTTATGGCTTTAAATTAGACATTGAAAAATAGAACTCTGGAAATTAAAATCATTTTCCCAAAAGTCTTTTATAATCAGCACCCTCTACATAGAAGCATTTAGATAAAGGATAAAAACCCATCAAAAGATACAAATAAATTTTAGCTTATATAAAGCAGAAGTTATTAAATCTCTACATCACCATGAGTTGCTATTCAATACCTTTGGCCTCAGTGACTAATTACAACGATTATTTCAATATAAAAAGTACAAGTTTTACTCTTTTTTATTCTTTTTAATGATTTCTATAGGCATTTAATTTACAAGCAGATGCTTCCTTTTGTGTCTGAAGCAGGGATTCTAATAAAAATATACTGTCTCAAGGCTTCTCAGAGTTTGGAAGAAATCTGAGCCTCTTCCATTTTTTGAGATTCTCAGTATTTATATAAACAGTAATAACAGGAATGCCAAAGGTGGTTACAAAAACTGTAGAATATCCCAAAAGGTTAAACTAAACCTAATTCATTTATTCTGTTAAAAAAATATATTGCACTAGTTCATTTGGAGATGGCTCTATTTGAAGTGCTTCACAAATGTCTGGCCCTGAACTAGATGGCCTTCTCCACCTCTACTTTGGTACTGCCACAGTGTTAGACTAAACAGCCTTATCTCTCTGGAGGAAAGTTTGCTGGCCTTAATGTCCCTGGGTTAGGAACAGAAGATCAGAAAGGAGGGCTACAGGGACAATGGTTGGCCATGCTGTCTGTCCTTTCTTATCTCTCTGCTGAGCACACAGCCCAGGAGTGAAAGGAAACGTAGGCAACATATCTGCTACTACACTGGCTTAGATGACATATGTGTGCCAGTGAGGACTTCTCTAATAGAGCTATAAGATTTGACCATCTTGGTGGGGCACAGTGGCTCAAGCCTGTAATCCCAGCACTTTGGGAGGCCAAGGCGGGCAGATCATGAGGTCAGGAGCTCGAGACCAGCATGACCAACATGGTGAAACCCTGTCTCTACTAAAAATACAAAAATGAGCCCAGCGTGGTGGTGGGCGCTTGTAATCCCAGCTACTCAGGAGGCTGAGGCAGGAGAATCGCTTGAAACTGGAAGGCACAGGTTGCAGTGAGCTGAGATCATGCCACTGCACTCCAGCCTGGGCCAAACAGCAAAACTTCATCTCAAAAAAAAGAAAATAGATGAAAACAGCATGACCCTAAGCTGTTTGTAATTCCTGATGGATGGTTGGAAGGAGCAGTAGCTGGTGAAGGTAGCAACTCTCCCAAACAAAAGTGATGAGAAATTTGATTACGTCTCTTATCCAACCTAGCTGAAGAAAACCCCAAAATACAGTCATAAGAATAGTAAATATCTTATTTTGTAGAAGTTTTTCTGGTTTTTTCTTTCTGTGCAGAAGAGGTAGAAAAAGAAAAGAAAAAGTGAGTATCATTTCTGAACCTGCCTACATTCCCTGAAACATTTTATGGATTCATGTATCTTGTCCATTCTCTGAAATCTTGTAGAAGAGCCTGACCACCTATTGCTTTATCAGTGTAAGCAACTGAAGGGCAGAGAGTGATAATGCTTTTCTTTTTTTCAATATTATGTATTCCCAGAGCCATTTATTAGGTGTTCAATAATGTTTTGATTACTAAAATGATGAATGCATGGCTGCTCGGAAGACAAGGCAGGCTCTCTCTCAGGTAAGGAATACATAGAAATAAATGTAGGTTCTTAAAATTCCTGAAAGGCACAAGACTTCCAGGTGACTCCAACTAAAAACTGAAATAAATAAAACCAATCTAATACATGTTATTTGGTCAAAGAATTCTAGTAACCTGACATTTTTGTGGGCTTCCTGAAGGAGCAATTGGTTCCATTACTTCTGTAACCACTCTATAACATAGAACAAAAAGGATATATAATTTTCTGGCTTTTAAAAACAATTCCAACTAACCCTTTCAGGAATTGGGTTCTAACTGAAGATCTTGTACTATGAATCAAAATGCTCTTATAAAGTTAATAAACAACAAGAATATTTAATTTCTGTATCATCATTTGGATCTCTTTCAGTTTCAATGGGTAGAAAATGCAGTCTAAGCTGACTTAAGGTAAAAGTGAATGTATTTGTTTATGAATGAAAAATACACAGAGATAGAGCTTGTTTCAGCCAAAACTCGATTCAGAGCTCGAAAATCTCCATCTGGGTTTCACTTTTCTCCGACTCCCAGTTCTGCCTTCTTGAGTATCAGCTTTATTTTCAGACTTCACATAGAAACACGAAAAGCTCTAAGCTCACATCATCTTCATAAATCAAAGTCCAGTAGAAGACAGTCCATTTCCTTAAGGGAAGGAGAAAAAAAAAATCCCAAAATGGTGGTTTTTGTCTGATTGGCCAGACTTGGTTTACATACCCACCCATGCTACCAGGATATAAATCTACCACTGGCCAGGCCTCAGCTATGGGTCTACCAGCGAGTCAGAGCAGTGGCTGATATCACCTGAAGCAAATGGGCTGAGGGGTGGGATCAGGTGGGTGGATCTTCCAAAATAAACAGGGATACTGTTTCAACAAGAGTGAGTGTTGGGAAGCAAAACCACAAATGGCCAATACAAAGTACCATTAGTAGACCTCACTTACCAAAACTCACATGTTAGTGGAACCAAATGAAAATTTTAAAAATAATTATCATTCAATTCAGACTTCTAACCAAACTACAGTTCTGGTGAGGGCAACCTCACACCTTGAATCCAAAATGTCTCTTCAGTTGCTGGCCTTCCACTTGTCTTCAGGAGCTGGAGCACATGGCCTTTGAAAAAACTGGCGAACAGAGGAAACTTGCAGCCTCGCAGCCACCCTGTGTCCAGTGCCGACCACAGGAGCCCGACAGGCTGGGACGGGACCGCGGGTGCGCCCCACCATCCCAGTGTCGCCTCAGGGACTCGCACCCCTTTCCCTCACCGCACAGGAGGTTTTATCCTTGGCGGCTGCCGCCAACCTGCCGGGAGGGGCGGTTGGACCTGGCAACCCGGGAGCGAAACCCCTGGGGTCTCCTTATCCAGGCCCCGGGCAGCCAGATCGGCAAGGCCAGCCGGGGCGTCAGCCCGGCGGATGGAGGCGGCTTTCGTCCCCAGCTCCCACTCCCTCCCCTTCCCCGGGGCGGGAGCGCGCGGGCCTGGAGCTGGGAGGCTGCGGCGGCGGCGCGGCCGGGCGGGTCCCGGGGCCGCGGTTCAGCGCAGGAGTCCCCGGCGCGCCCGCTGCGCTCGCCCCGCAGCCGCCGCCCGAGCGGTCGGAGTCGCCACCGGCTGTGTCCGCTGGGATCCCGGCGCGGAGGGGAGGGGTCGCCCCCGCCGGACCCCGGGCACAGCGCAGTCCCCGAGCGCCGCCCAGACGCGGGCCGCCCTGGGAGCGGCTGAGGCCGAGAACCCGGGGGAAGGAGGAGCCCGCGCTGGCTGCAGCCCCAGGTAATCTCAGTGGAGGACGCGCTCCTCTCCTCGCCCAGAAACCCGAGCCGGGCGCCTTGGAAGGCGGACTCCAGAGGCGGCACCTCCACAAGACAAGTTTATCGCTGCTTGAAATGAGGGAGTTCTGAAACCAACGCTCGTTTTATTTAACCAGCTTTTTTTCTCCTGTTTTAAATAAGTTTATTTAGACAATGGAAAGAAAAAAACCAAACAGCCTCTTGGGTAGCTGTGGGTTTGTAAATGTAATCCTGAAAGTTTTTCATGGTGTGGTTATTTGCTTGCGCATATTTATTAACCTGTTAATTCTTCGGCTAGTCAGAAAATTGACATATAAAATATTCTTTGAGGGACGTTACAAGTTTGCTGTTGCATACGGGCATCCTGTTATTTATCAGCTTAGTTAGCATCTGTCTTCCCCCAGAGTGGTACTAAAGTCAGTCCCTTGGCGTCGGGTCTTGCATGTGACACTCTTGCCCTCTAGTGCCTCACCAGCTTGGTAGCAGTTTGACGGCTAATATTAATAAGATGTTACATAATATGAGAGTACTGGGCCAGGACTGGTGTTGCTGCCACTTGTAAAGTCAAAAAGCCTGAGCCGATGGTAGCGAGTGATGCTGTTTCCGTTTCTTTTCCATCTATTGCAACTTTCTCAAGCATTTTCAGCTCTGACCTTTGGTTCCAGGTAAGTGTATTTATTTATTTATACTATGCATTAATGCCTCACTCATAAATATAGGGGCTTTTAAGAGATAACTTTGTTTCCAAATTAAAAATTTCAAAATTGAACAAGTGCCTCATTTTATTCTTGAAAAAGAAATATAGAGCATTTTGATTACATTAAGTGAAACAAAGGACCGTCTCATTCAAGGATAATTTTAAAGTTTCCCTTTCATAAGATTACAGTATTAAAGAAATAACCTCTTGTAGTTGTTTAAGATATTTATCAACTTATAATGATTCTGCAGATTTGTTTAACAGATCACATGTCTGTTGCCTTGACAAAATTTTGTAAGGAACATCAGAGACTTAAACTAAACTACCTGCCTATCTACACAGTAATGATCCTCTAAAGGCTTTCTATTGGATGCAGTTTATTTTATAGACATTATTTAAAAGTATAAAATTAATAAAATTAAATGCAACTGGAAAGAATCAATCTAGGTATCAAATAGAGAAACTTTAAATTTAAAGAAAATAGATATATCTTCTATTTAATATATTCATTTTGTGGGAGCAGGTAAAAACAAAGTTACATCTTTAAGGGGTTTTCTTGGATCCTTTTTCAAATAGTTTTTCTAATAGCTAGATACTGTTTAAGCATCAAAGTTATTTAATGTCGAAAATGTATTAATATCTATATTCTTTATAAACATTGAAATGCAGCAATATATGTAATCTGGAGGAATTTAGAAGAAAACACATCTAGATAATGTAAACTGCTACATTCTTAATACATTTGTATTAAATTAAAATACAAATCAAATGTTGAGATGTGTGCAACTGATCTGGGACACGCTCTTTTTTTTTTATTTTTTTGCCTTTAGAAATATCATCTTATCAACTACTGAGCAATGCTGTTCACCACAAGAGAGCAGAATGACATGGCACAGAAACTGTAGAATATCTGATATTTAGCTGTAGGGAATTTTTTTTCTTTTTCTTCATCCATAGCTTCCTATCAATATTATATTTGAGATGGAGATTTCAGATAGAAGTTTGAAATAGGCTCCTTTTGAAAATAGTACTGAACACATAAAGAGGCTTGCTTAAGATAAGCTCTTTGTTTTTTTCTTTCTCTGGTTAACACAGTATTTACCATTTCAAATTTTGTTATTGTTTTTCTTTAGCATCTTGATGGTAAAACAGAATATTTGTTTCTTTGTGTAACTAATGTTAACTTTAAGCTCATCACGAGTTAATTTTCTTCACAGTCTTTAAAATGAAAGATTCTCACATTACTAAAATGTTTTAGATAAAATAAAACTTTTCTCTCTTCTGGAGATATTCATTATAGTTTAATTTGGTGGAGTTATATATACCTTCTCGTAAATTTTCTTGAGAAAAGCATTATTTCTGAACATTGTAGCAACTATTAATTTTTGGTGTAACTGAAAAGTTTGTTAAAAGTATATATAGTAGAAGAGATAATCAGGCATTGGAGGTTCTTTTTGTAAACAATATATTCTGCTAAAGAAGTTATTATAAGCTAAAATATAAATATTTAATTGTTTACCTGTCATTTCAAAATTTTAAAAATGTAAAAAAATTACAATTTTTTCTTTTAATCTTGGGACTCTGATCATATGACTTCCTTGAAACCTAGTTGAGTTTCAGCTGCTTTTTGGTGATTAGGGCCAATTTTGTAACCTAAATGTGCATTTGTCAGGATACAAAATATATTTTTTAAACTACATATAAATACTTTGTGATTTATATGTACTATAAAATCAGGGAAATTGAATAAAGGATAAAAACACTATTCTCAATTGAATGAATGCCTTGAATTTCTAATTTCTTAACAGTACAGACAGTAAGAGAAGACAGTGGAAGTTCACTTTCCCTGTGCTATGTCTGTTGTAAATGAGCATTCACACAGAAATGCATGAACTCTGGACACCTGTCCAGATTAGGGAACGCTGCCAGACCGCAAAACTAATGACTTGCATCATAAAGATAATCAGTCTGAACAATGGTCAAAACTATTGTATGACGGAGGTTTCTCTTAGGTTAGTGAAGAGGTGGTTTTAGTATTTGTTGGTTTGTCTGTTTGTTTATGGTAAAAAACTACACTCTTAGATACCTGGATATGACAATAGTGATTTATTCTTTCTTGTTACTCTAAATATTTTCATCAATTTCATGTGAGTTATAGGATGAGAAAAAAAAAGTAGTACCTACTACAATTAATTAATGTCTATAATAAAACATTTCCCAAAATCTTCTACAAATTACTGAGGACTATATATGATTATCTGCTGCCAAATAAGAGCTTAAAAATCAATTATTGCAGTCCTATCCTAAAACTGTTAAGCATCTCAGTGATGAGTATCCATTTTACATATATTTTATTGCTGAATGTTTGTGTTTGATTAAAATATTTGAAAATAACATGAAAGTAGATCTAAATTCTAGGCCTGGCTCTGCCACGAGAGGAGTGGCCTTGAACAGCTCCCTTGCTGGCCCTGGGGTTTGGTTTCCTCACCTGAAATATGAGGATTCCGGAGACCCTTTTTCATCTTGTTTGTTCAGCATTTTAGAAATTGCTCTGGAGGACAGGACGAAGACACATGACAAAACATCAGTGAATAATATGAAGTTTAACTTGGTGATAAGTACTATTGTCTAGATTTTTGCTAGTAGAGATGTTACAGTTTATACTCAGAATGGTTACCTTGTACCAGGTACTGTTTTAGTTTACATATTAATTTCTAGCTTATATAATCTTCACAAAGATTATTTAAGGTAAATATTATTCCTGTTTCACAAATTAGGAAATTGAGGCACTGAGAGGGTACCTGCTTGCCTAAGATCACATCCCTGGCAAGTGGTGAAGCTGGAATTCAGTTTGAGTCTGGCTCCAACACACATTCCTTTAACCATTATATTACATTGCCTCTCTACAGGTTTCAAATATTTGTTCTTAATATGCCTCTTGATGTAACAGAGGCAATCCATACGCCACTCCAACAATTTCCACCACTTCCCTTACGTAAGAAATACTCATTCATTCACCCAGGACGTATTTACCAAGCATCTACTTTTGTGCCAGGCATAAATCACACCACAGGATAATTAAATGAGTTGCCTTCCCTAATTAAGTATATTCAGTTTAGTTTAGGTGATTTCTTTCTCCGCTTTTGCTACCCTAGTTAGGTTGAGTCTTTCACTTGTTCTAAAAGGTGCCCAAGGTAACAGAGGAATAATTTACCTGACTCTTTTATTGACGTGCCCATAGAATAGAACCTTCAACCTCCTCAAGACTGCCTATATCATATTTTTTCATTATTCCTTTCTACTCTTTTTGCATCATCTTCTCTCTGCAGATTGGGTGTCTTTCCTTCTCTGGTTCATGTAACGTAATAGAGCCAACATTGATTCGTAACTTTACATCTTATGGTCCAGGCAACTAACAAGAGGTCAGGTTAACACTCTCCTGTTCCAATTATTCTAATGAAGAACAAAGAAAAGGCTTGGATTAGATCCTGAAAGCTGCAATGTCAGCATTCACATGTGTCATGTGTGAGCATACGTGACAGAATATGTCAGCATATTTTGATGCATGCATTCTGGTCCAATCTTAGAGGGCATAGGCAGACATTTTCCCCCTTAAGTCACAAAGGCAGAATAAACAGCAAACAGCAGTGGGGTGGTTTTCTTCTTTTGCGTTACTGGATGGTATAACACTGAGGGAGGTAAATAAAACATATTCTTCCCTTCATAATTTTTAATACAAAGAGGGAGGGAGAATTACAATGGAAAGTCATTTTCCATTTAATGTACCAAACAAAGCTAATGCTCTCAAGTGCA